AAACTTATTTATTGTCTGAAAACGGCGATTTTTGCAACTATAGTTGTTTTAACCTTATCCAAATCTTATATGAATAATTTTTGTATATGAGTAATATCAATGATCTGAATAAAACTGTTTTTGTATGTATGTATGTATGTATGTATGTATGTATGTATGTATGTATGTATGTATGTATGTATGTATGTATGTATGTATGTATGTATGAATGTATGGATGTATGCATGTATGTATGTATGTATGTGCGTATGTAGATATGTATATATGTATGTACTCTTACTTTTGAACTATATTTGGTTTCATATCATTTAATTTATTGAAATGCTATAGAATCCTAAATTCAAAACTTTAATTTTATGTACTCATTTTGAACTATATCTCTGTTTCATAAGATTAATAGAATAGAATCTGCAGTTCAATAACTTTTGATTTATTTCGATCTAGTTTAATCCTTGATTTTTGTCGAACTATTTTAATTTTTGATTTTTGTTGATCAATGTTGATTTTATTTGGATAGGGTGACTTTCTTACAAGCATTTGGTTGCTTTTTTAGTTTACCCCTCTTTTGAGAAAATAAACGAATTGAATTGAATATATATATATATATAATAGACCATAATTTTTACAATATTCTATAAACTCTAACGAATGTTTGGCGTTAATATGTTTGTAGTTCGTTTTTTCGATTTTTCTCACTAAAGTTTTTTGGAGAACGTTTAGTTTATTAAAATTCAAAATAAACTTATTTTCCGAATTCATGCAGCAAATAAGGCCATATTTCGATTCCGAATGAATCATCATCAGTTCAAATTGGTTTATACAGGGAAATAGAACTTAGATGGAAATTAGGTGTCAGATTTCTTTATTGGCTGGTTCATCTTCGTTGGTTTCCTTTTCTTCATCGATAGCATATATATGTGTGTGTGATTGTTATCAATATTATATAATATTATATATATATATGTATATATCTATATATTTTTATTTTACAAGGTTTAATACATTATTTGACTTATAAAAACATTAATTATTTTATATTTATTCAGTATAGACTCATAGGTTTATTTAATTTATTGTTTAACAATTGTCTTAGTTTTGAGAAGGCACAGGGACGTTTCGTTTTCGCCTTTGTTTAACGTAATAATAATAATATGTATGTATGTATATATTGTTGGGAGTGAGAAAAACTGAATGAAAGAAAAGCCCTTAGTGTATTAAATATCCATGGAAAGAAAGAGTTTCAAAATAATTTTTTTAAATCAAAGTTATACCGAATGGAGGGGATTTAGTTCAGATACTCATGAACATGAAACATGGTAAATTCCCCCAGTGCGGTGTCTGGTAACAGTCAAAGGAAATTTCATACTATGTTTAAGATGTGATAAATGGTCACAAACGACCCAGTGGATTAAAAGAAGACCTCAACAAAAGCAAAAAATTTGTTTGTGACCGATGAAGGTTAAAAGATATTACTGAGCGAAAAAGTGATACTGAGCCCCTGGAAAATTCGGGATTTGAAAGAGTGGAGTCTTTTAGTTATCTAGTTATACTAAGTGAGAAGGTTGGATCAAATACATAGAAAAGTGGAAAATAGAATAAAAGTAGGATGGAAAAAATTTAGAGAAATGACTTTAGTGTTGTATTCTAGGGGCATACCATTGAGCCTGAAAAATTGGGTATATAAAGCTATAAAACTATGGTTATGACGTCTGAAAACTTAAGAAAGCTGGAGAGAACAAAAATGCAAAGTTGAAAAGTTGATTATTCTTGCGAAATGGTCTAAGTAATGAGATGATAAAGAAAGGATTAGAGATAGATGAGTTGTCAGATGTAATTAGATTAGACTGAGATAGTTTGGACAGTGGAGAGGAAAACAATTGGTAAAGAACTGGGTAAAATTATTTAGAACTATTTTAACTGGCTGTTCAAGTTTACCTGGAACGAAGTGTTGTCAAAGGACATGAGAACACTGGGCCTAAAACCAGTAACGGCCCAGAATAAAAAAGAATGAAAAGACGGTTAAATGGGCGTCATCATGCTACAAGACTAACCCGGCGTTTTCGTCAGCAAACCCAGGTATGAACACCGGGCAGCTCTGCACATGATATATATATATATATATATATATATATATATATATATATATACATTCTTAATAATTACCGTACTAATGAACAACAAATTAAACATATCATCAAGTTCAACATCACAGCTGTCGACAAAAACAGCCAAAAACTGTGGCTCCACAACACTGCGTGGTCTCCAATATGTGCCAGCTTCATTGTGGTTTGATGAAGATTGTCGATTATTGATGAAGCATGAAACATTATCATTCATCTCAGTTTCATTTAATTAAATTTTTATCTTTTCAACAATGTTCATCTGATGAAATTTGGCGTAAGATACTTGATTCTCCAATTAAAACATGTTTGCTTGACTGCTTACCAACTAAAGTTCTTCTTAAATATATCGACGTATTTTTATCATTTCTGGCTGTCTTCGTCAATTCATTTTTAATGTCTGGTTACTTCCCATTGTCTCTGAAATTTGCGATCGATACTCCACTTACATTTTTTGTCTAAAGTTATTGAGCGAATAGTTTAGAAGCAACTGTTGCAACACTTAAATCCTCACCAGCTACTGCCAAAACGTCAGTCAGATTTCAAAAAATATCATGCAACAGAATCTGTATTGATTGATTGATGTTTCTTCTGAATTGCTAATATTTAAGCTCTTGCACCCCTAGACTTAAATATTTGCGCCAATCATGCAATTGCGCCAACCATGCAATTGCACCAATCATGCAATTCTTTTAAGGACATATTATTAGTTTTAATTATTGTATGTTGTTTCATTCATATTCATTTTTGGTTTTATATATTTAATATTTTTCATAACTATACTTATATTATACTTTATTAAGGTTCTTACGAAGGAACCATCACCAAACACAATTTTTTATTCAATTTCCAGTTTCTATACTACATAACAGTAAAATCAAAATCTCAACAAAATTAACATTGTTAAAGTGTTATATTTTTCTTGTGCTCACTTACGGTTATAAGTCCTGGACGGTTTCTAAACAAACGGGAAAAAAATTGATGCTGCTGAGATGTTGTTTTTAAGAAAAATTATTAAAATTAGTTGGACTTCTTATACTTCCGTCGAGGATATATTAAAACAGTTTACGAGATGTAGAATGACCGGAAGGATAGCTTTGATGCATGTTGTAAAATTCGTCGTTGACATCTTTCCCGTCAACCACTGTTGCCGCGATGAAAAACTCACCCTCATCAGCAATTAAGCCGTCCAGAACCTCTTTCAGGTGCATGTTGGAGGCTTTATCCCAAAACTTGAATTATCGTCTGTCACCAATTCTTGTCCTGAATGAACATTCGCATTAGCATTAGAATCATATTCACTGATACCGTTAATTTCCAATTAATGCCACCCAAGATTAAAGTCTTATCAAAATTATTATAAATTGAATTGTTGGTGAGTGTTGTATCGAAATCATTGTAGCTATTATTGCCACTGCTGTTGTTGTTTTCAATGAAAACAGGCAAGTTAGCAAAAAGATCAGAGCAGTAGTCCCACTGCATATCAAAAGTTTCCATGTCTTTGTCACTGCCTACTTCTGTACTAATTTCAAAACCTTCATCGACATCTTTGTCATCATCTTTATCATTACAATAGTAATGAAAAGCATCGTCATCACGTGCTTCGCAGTCGAAATCATCGTAGAAATGATAGGCTTGCGATCGCTAATGTAATTGTACGTAGTTGTTGTTGTTGTTGCCCTTCCTAGATGTTCGGTGGGTGCTCCAGGCGAGGCCTGAGCCAATTCGCCACCTCAACTGGGTTCCTCCACAGATCTATTTACATGAGATGAGTGTGGTTCTTCGGACAGCTGAACAGATGGGGGACATCGTCAGGTTGTTGAAGGCAGAAAAGACAGATGTTGTTGTGCCCGCTGTCAATTCTTGCCTTGTAGCTGCCAAGAAAGATGCAATGGCCAGAGCGGAGCTGGGCTAGGGTCCGTCTGATTGCCCTGGGCAAGCTTTCTTCTGTTTTGTCTATTTTTGGGGTCGGAGGAGGCCATCCGTTGAGTAGCACTGGGGCCATGTATGAGTCGGATGCGGCTTTGGCGGCATTGCTATGAAGGATTGATGATGCTACTCTCAAGAATGCGTTGATTGTACGTAGTTAAATAAGCTGGTGATATGATGTTAGGATCTTGTATGCCCGTTGTTGAATCGGTCGGGCACATTTTTCGTTTGTCCGGTTTGCTGTCTAATTTTGTTTCCTTGTTCTCCGTGAAACGTTTATTTGAATGCCAACAGTAATTGGAACACTAAACTAATTGAAGTAACTATATAAATCACAATAATAACTTCACATCAAACCTTGGCTCTACTCTACTAAACTTGTTTTATTCGCAGGACCTTATATAGCCTCTACGGTACATTTTTAGCATAGATTCGATATCTCTTTATAATCCTCTATGGTTTACCATCCAAAGATTACAAATATAGCAAAGATAACAATAATTAGGATAACAAATAATTATAGCGCAATTTTATCATTCTTGTATTTATAACAATATAATGGTAAAATAAACTATAAATATTATTAAATAACAACGTTCACTAAAAAACGACAATAACAGTAATAACATAAAAATAATAATAGTAATAATGATAGTTTTAACAATAGTAACAATAATAATATGAAATATGCAAAAAATATTAACATTTGAATTTTTTAATTATTCATTATTATCAACAAAGTTTGCTAAGATTAGTTTGTGGTATTGTGTCTTATTTTTATATTAATAACAAATAAACAAAATATCAAAAATGAACAAACGCTTGAGACAGTACTTGCGAGCGTACTGAAAGGCCGATCAGTACGCCCGGCAAGAAAGGCGAAACATCTTTTTCGCCCGTGTATTCAGACCCTGAGGTTAAAAAAAGATATTGTAGTGGCGGGTCCCGGTCAGAGAAGCGACCGCCTACAGGAGGAAAGTGAACGTAAGCGACTGCCACGTCGCTGATGACCGACACCGACCATACCGCGTCGACGATCGCCGTCGAAGCAAGGACAGCGGCGACGACGATCGTGGCGACAGAAAAAGCGGTAAAAAGGACCACGACTAAAATTTGACAATCTCACTCTTCTACCCATTCATTTTATTTCATTTCATTTTATTACTTCTGTATTTTCTTGCATGTTGTACCTTTTTGGCGTTCGGCTGAGAGTGAATAATTAAAATAAAAAAAAAACTTATATTATATTGACAACCAATTATATACATTTTAAACGTTATATATTATAAACATTATAAACGTTCGGTAGGAATGATAACAGAATGGACTGGGGCTAGACGTAGGAACGTCAAACGAAACAAAAACGTCAAAAAAAAAATGAAGTGACCTTGGTATGCTACAAAAAACACGCGCCAACAGCTTTGAGGCTTTATCTTTTATGATTGATTGGTTGAATAATCGACACTCACCAACGATCAATTGATTCAAGTTAAAATCATCAAAATTGGTTGTTTTTGTATAGATGCAAAATTCATGTGAAATGTTCAAGGCAAGTTACACTTTTTGATTTTCATAAAAATGGTTACTGCTAAATTATTCGTTGAAATAAAAACATCAATATTGCCTTTTTACAGTTTGACCAAAATGTAAAATACATATTTAAATATGAAATTTACCTGAACAGGTACCAGAAGCAGCTACTAGAGTAAACCCACCACGGCATGTTGTGCATTTGTTTGCTTCACTACCACACTTGTCACAGTTTTCCACATTGCATGCTTTTATCATTATATTGCAATTTTTGAAAAATATAAATATCCAAATTAAACAAACAGCAAAATAACAAATTATTATAAAAACAAAAAATACTTACCGTAACATACACCATTGCCTGTGCCCGCAGCCGTACTTTTGCTGTATTTATAACTGCATGATACACAACTGGTAGAAGAACCACTGCACGTCTGACAAGAGGCATCACAAGCTATAACAAAACAGTATATAAATATGTTAACAGTGAGACATAATTATGAAACATTAATAAAAAAAAAGAAATAAATATACAGATTATTTTAACAAAAGCTGGAAGACATATCTTTTGTTAAAAGTGATGCATGGACCAATTTATAAGCATGCAGCAGAGCGCTTTCTTTATACTTTAAAAAAGTTAAACTCTAAGTTTTATAACAAAAAATAAGTCAAAAACAAGATTTGTACAGCAAAGTTAAAAACAATAAAGTATATGAAAAACAAGCTTGAAATTGGTAAGAAATTGTTTGCTAGACGTATCATACAAAAACAATTTAAACTCTTTTCAACTGATAGCAAATATATTAAACTAGACTCACCGACACATGTTCCTGATGAGGCATAAAACCCGGCAACGCATGTTATGCAATTATCCTCTGTATCACAGTTCAGACACTTATCTACGTTGCATCCTTTTGTAATTCAAAATTTTAAAATAAAATGAACCAAGACTTGCTTAATTTTGTTTTTTGGAAATATTGTCAAATTTTTGTTATTTGATGATCAATGTAAAAATTGTAAATGTTTACTTATACAAGTTGAAGCAGTCAGATTGTATCCTGGAATGCAGGATGTGCATGTTGTGGCACCACCATCACATGTCCGACAAGGAGAACTACAAGCTATTCAAGAAAGAAAATTTCAATATAAAAAAAGTATGTTAATTTTTCTTTCAAATGAAAAGTTCGCAATTCAAATTACTTCCGGCGCACTTGTCTGTTGCAACTGTATAAAAACGTCCAGCAGTGCAAGTTAAGCAAGAAGTATCGTCCGAGCACGTAGCACAATATTGAGGACAAACTGAAAATGAATATTAATTTTATGAAACAACTTGGATCAGGAGACTGTTATAACAGATAATCAACATTTACTCTCGTTATACATAACTAATTGTTTCGAAAATATTTTTGTAGTGTGAACACTGTTTTTAATTCAATAATAAGAACTATCAATATAATAAGATAAAATGATAAAATAAAATCAGGTAAAACTAAATAAAATAGAGATAAAATTAATAAAACTGGCAGTCTAATAATAAAATCAAATAATAAAATTAGCACGGTCTCCGATAATTAAAGGTACATGAATAGAATAAAATAAAATAAAATGGAGATAATCTGCAAAGCTCGTCATTCATGAAATTTAAAACGAATGTGTACAAGGAGAAATAAAATCAGTTTAAACTGCACAATACAGATGGCATATGACTATGATATTGACGAATTGATTAAATTTTATTGTAAAATTGATCCGACCAATTTAAATTGACAAGTGATAAATGAAAATGTTTACAGAAACCTAACGGGGGAATATCAGAAGTTTTAATTATTGTTTTTAGGTGTTTTATATTGTCAATCGAGTTGTTATTGAGGTTTTGAGAATATTTAAACAATTTGTAGTTAGTTCCTTGATTTCGAAAAGTTTGATCGTGTCTCCGTGAAGAAAACCAATATCAGGACGAAGTGATCTAAACAGAGATGATACTGGGAGAAATCCATTGCTGTTCGTATCAGAAAATTTGTCACCTCCGGCTTTGGAGACGATCTGATCTCTTTCAAAATAAAAGATAATATTCTATCGTGACGATTCGTGAATCTTTTCAGAGCCGGTACTGAGCTACAATTTGATGAAACATGCCTGTTTGTGTTGGAGCGCGTTACAAAGCGGACACAACGCGTTAGACGACTTACACCATTTGGATAGGTTTGCATTTTTTTGCATTTGTTGAATTAAAGCCTTTTTTTAGAAATTTGAATAAAACCTCTGGGATTTTGGCAGTGAATTTTGACCATGGGGAAAATAATAATAATAACTCATTAATCAAACATCAAAAATCAAATAATTTAAGTGATAAAAGTTTTTAATGAAAAAACAAAATAGAAATAAAATGTATTAAAGTAAAAAAGATCCTAGCACAGAACCTTATGAAACACCATAATGTAGAGGAATATTCGGGGATTGTTTAGATATTTTGACAAATTGATTGCGACCAGTTAAGTAGGAAAGTAAAAAGCGCCATTACATAGATGGTATGAAGCCTACTGCTGATCATTTTACACAATTTTAAAAATCTTTTCAAACATTTGTTTCATAAAACTGAGTATGAAAATAAAGCAGAGAAACATGTAAAATATAACTAAAAGGCATGTAATGAAGCAAAGTAAATGTGGTGATTAAATTAGTTTTTCAAGCTATCCACACCTATACTTCATCAAAAATTAAGAAACTTCGAGTAACCTTCACCCAAAAATACCTAAACTCCTATAATTACCGAAATATATCTATCGTTACACTTTTAGCAAGTTATGATAGAAGCCAATCTACAATGAAAAAGAAATTATACTACAAGAATCAATAAAACATGAAAATGTTTCCGTTCAAAAAAGCGTTTTAATAATTACTCCCCTCCCCATAAGTTACCACTCAATTCAACTTTCATAGAAGTTGGTATGGGTACAAATACTGAGAAACACTAAACAAATAAAACTGACAAACGTACCATTACACTTGGAAGATTGTAAATAGTATCCAGCATTACACTCTGAACAAGTATCAGTTGCACTACAATACATGCAGTTAGCAATGGAACACGCTGATTGATTTGTAATAAATTTTTCATAAATTCAATTTAAATCAGTGACAAACATTCTGGCATAAAGCGGTAACATTAACGTTGACATATGTTTAATAAATTGTATGATTTGTTAAACAATTTTAAATAATTTTTTCGATTGTCGAATATAGTTCATGTAAAAATTCAGTAATCATGTTAAAATATAATAGAACCAATATAATGATCTCACAGTAACAAGCCGTTTTATCGCTCCGAAGTTTAAATCCACTAGAACATGTATCACATGTACTACTGGTGGTACCACAAACAAGGCAGTTGGTAACACAGTCTAATGGGACAGGAAAATCAGTTAATAGTTGAAACATTTACAATTCATTAAACAAACATTAAAAATCAAGTGAATGTCATCAAATTGAATGATCAACCTGTACAAGAAGAACCACTCAAAAACTTAGATGAAGAACATTTTGTACAAGTGGTTTTATCAGAGCACGTTAAACAACCAGATATCGCATCTCCGCAACCTAAATTTCAAATGTTTACATATATTTCAACAATTATTGAAACAAATATTTTAAACAAGTGACATATACGCAGATTGGTCTTCAGTACGAATACAAAACTTTCTATTGTCATTGTTCCATGATGTAACAATAGAGACCATCAATTAGGTAACATATGTACTGTACATGCAGGTGAAAATAAAAGAAAAAATAATGCATCCATACATGCAGTAGCACATCATGAGAAACATACATAGTCACGCGAAATGAACATTTTATAACAAATTATTCACATCAATAATAAAGATAAAAATGCAAAACTTACTTTTGCATAAAGAAGTAGCAGCATCCACATAATATCCACTAGAACATGTGAGACATTTGGCACCATGTGCACATGTTGTGCAAAACGTGGGACAAACTGGGAAAAGAAGAAAGTGTTGCTTCAATGTGTTCATTGTTTGTGGAGGTGTGTTTGAGATATCATTTAAGAATTATATTAAAATCATCACTTCAGACCCGTGCAGGTTCTGGTGACGAGATCAAGATAATATCCATCATTACATCTGTCACATTTGCCTTTGCCACTGGAGGAGCAGCAGGCACAATCGGGAGAGCAACTTGCTGCAAAATTATTTCAAACTTTTTTTATAAATATGCAATATGCAAGATTGATGGAATGACAAGAATATGATAATAAGCACAAACGTGGACATTCCACATCTTTGGAAACGGTAATCGTATTGTCAATGCAGGAAGTGCAAAAGGAGGACCCTGTACAACTGGCACAGCCAAATCCACAGGCTATAAAAATTTTGTAGTTGATTGATAAAATTAAATGTTTCTTAAATTTGTCTTAATGAAGTTATAACACTGGTGTCGGTAGTTTCGAGTGTCAAAGTTCAAGACAATATTCATTTGAAAGTTTCAATCATAAATTTTAAAATTATTACAACAACTCAAGTTATAGCAAATAAAATATTTTTAAATAAACAAAATGATTGGCAGCGCACCTTTACAAGTACCCCCGACGGCAGAATATCCCAGTGAGCAAGAGTTGCAGGTGTAGGAGGCGTCCACGCTGGTGCATTGAGTCGAGAGAGTTGTATAAGCTGCGTAATAAATGTTCGTCAAGCAAATTTATTTGATCTCTTCCTTATATTGATGATGTTATTGTTATCAGTGAGGGCAATGTTTACAAAATAATAAACAGTTTTAAAAACTTTAAAAAACTCTCATGATCTTAGGCTCCAGCACTTGTTAACAAATTGACATCACATTCAAAATGTTCTGCTTCAACGTCACCAATCTACATTTTTATTTTTAACATCAATCTATTAAGAACATTTTTTATTAGCTCATGTTATTTGTCATATTTTCATTTCATCCTATATTAAAAAGACTTTAGAAAGTAATAATAACAATACGCCGTGATGCTTTTTTGTGAATTGAGTCAGGTTACAGTAGTAACCGTCTGCTGATGTGAATGCTGCTCCTGAGTTCAAGTCGACTAACAACTCTTTTTATCAATTCGAGAGTATTTTAATAAAAGATTCAAAAAAATTAATTCCAAAAAGCCTCAACATTACCCAGGTCTCAAAAGATTGCAATAGTCGAACTACTGTTTAAAAAGTCGGGTATGTCAAGCAATATTGTGGCCGGTTACGGACCTATTTCTAACCTCACTTTCATCTCAAAAATCATTGAACGTACCATCGCTCGTCAGCTTCTCGCCTACTTCAACAACAGCCAACTGCTGCCAAAGGTTCAGTCGGGTTTTCGTCGAGCACATCGAGCAAATTCAACGGAGACGGCAATATTGAAAGTGGTTTCTGATATCAGTGACGCTGTTTGCATTGCATTGCATTACCTGCTGCACTTCTTGATTTAAGCGCTGTATTCGTCAAAGCAGATCACCAGTTTTTGTTGAAACAACTTTCAACTTCATATGGTATTGGTGGAGATGTGTAAAGGTGGTTTCAGTCTTACCTAGCAGACAGGACTCAAGTTGCATGTGCTGGTAACCCGTACTTGATCCTCCATTATGCTGATATACATCATGTACACTAGTATCGTCAACATCGTAGAGACAGCAGGCCTTCATTGTCATCTTTATGCCAACGATATTAAACTGTATGGATTTTGTCCGCCAAAATCATTACATCATGTAAATGGTATTATGTCTGATGCAGTGGGTAAATGCTATCAAACGGATTAAAGGCTTAAAACTCAACATTGAAAAAACGCTGTTTATGTGGATGGGAACATCAAATGGTCTTGGTCACATAAATGGATTCAAAAATACAGTAACTATATCCGTGTTATACTGGACTCTGAACTATCAATGGAAAGTCATATAAATAAATTTGCCGTTGATGTTTCTATCAGCTGCACAAAATCACATCGATCAGACATTATCTGAATGTTGAATCAACAAAAACGCTTTAATTACTGCAACGCAATAAAGTACGAAATCAAACTATCCCTTCGTGATGCCATGCAGTCTATTTTTAACGCTGCTGCTAGATTGGTTGCTAGACACTCGAAGATCAATTTAATTTCAGCTTACATTTAAAAATTAACTACACTGGCTTTGTTTGCCGGAAATAGTTTTGTTCAAATTAGCTCTCATTATCAGAGATTAACTAGCCGGTGAACTAGTATCTGAAGTTGCGAACTAAGATCCCCCTGATAATGGAGATCTTTTGCTTCCAAGATTCAATTCTTCGCGCTTTGGTAAAAGAAGATCCACCCTTAGAACTAAAAAGAATCGAAAGCGTAATTCGACATGTTTTTAAGAAGCGTTTAAAAAACCATCTGTTCAACAATGCACAGCAAAGCTAGTGCTTCTGAGATTCTTTCAGGAGGGGCGCCATACAAGTCCTGAAATACAAAAAAATACAATACAAGATGACTGTAACAGCTTCAAATTTTTCATTTAATAACTGAGTTCTACAGTTTTTGACAATATTCAAATCTTTTGCATCAATATATCGATTCATTATGCCGGTTTATTACATCTGTGCCATCTTCTTTTTTCTAACGTTGTTGAACGAATCGTACTTAATCCGTTATGATAAGTTAAGTTTTAAAGTTTACACATTCTGGCCGCTCTTCTCTGAACAAACTTTTTTATGTCTCCCGTTAGATATGTATGGATTCCAGACTGTAGTCGCATACGCTAGGTGCGGTCTCACGAGAGATGTATAAAGTAGTTTTGTGATTTTTCGTCTAAAAATGCTTAGTTTTTTGTTTGTTTGTTTTCCCGACTGCATAATAGACATGTTTCTCCCATCTCAGATCATTTGACACATTCATGCACGTCTTTTTCAAGTGCAATTTCACATAATTTTATTTTTTCTTTCCTATCATTGCATAATGTCGTATCTAGGGTTATTCCCACCAATATGCATTATTCAACATTTTCGGTATTGAATTTTACCTGACACTCCTCCGACCAATTAAACATTTCATCCTAATCATTCGGTAAACTAGTATTAATTTTATCATTTTCTATTGATTAAATAATCTTTGCGTCATCTGCATAGTATAAAATATAAATATAAAATTTTAATTTTAAACAATAAAAATTTTATATTTAAAAAAATAGATTTAAACAATAAATTAGAAAAACACAACCGATGTATAATTTAGTAGAACAATTTTTATATTATTTATTTATTTATTCTATAATTTTTGCGGAGGAGACACCTATTGTCATCAATTTTTTGCCATTTTTCAAAAATTTTCATGAAAAACCCCTAATAAATTTTATTTTGAATGATTCTGATAGATCTTTTGATGCTCAACATACAAATACAGGAGTGATCATTTTGCATTTAATAATCGTTCATATTCCATCGAGATGTTTTTTTGTTTTAAATTGAAACTGGTTGTCTTAGCAACACTCACTCACATAGGTCAGGCAGAAATAAAGTTTAAAATGTTTGTTTGCAATATTTTACAAACTTCAAATTAATCAATTTACCAAAAGAAGCCAATCAAACTAGCAGCCAATAACACAATCACACAATCATACAATCAATCAATCATATAATCAATCAATCACAAAATCAATCAATCAATCAAATGATTGTTCATTAATTTAACAGCCTAATTAATTTATTGAAAAAACTCAAACATACAATTGTAAAACGGTTACTGATTGCAAAAATATATATGCATAAGTGTCTTTAGTGTAAGCTACTTTAGGTACATATGGATTATGTACGTGCAGATGATGCTGTTGACAACTAAGTTATTTTTTTTACTTTGAAAAAAACGAGTTTTTCAAACTTTTGAATCGAACTACTTGTTAATTTTTTTTCTCGTGAAATATTTAAAAAAACGATGTCAAAATATTAATGAACCACCAATTGTGTGTCGGATGAAATACATTTTGAACTTTAATTCTGCTCATTTTAAATCTGATTAAAACTTATTTAATTTTATAGAATACCAACCAATCAATCAATCAAACAACATCAATCAATCAATCATTCAATTAATCATTCAATAAATAAATAAATCATTTATTTATATATCCATTTATTCATTCATTCATTTGTTCGTTCGTTCGATCGTTCGTTTATTTATTCATTCATTAATTCATTCGTGCATTCATTCATTCATTCATTCAATTAATCAAACAAACAATCAAACGAACAAACAAACAATTAAAACAATCATTCAACCAACTATTCAATCAATGAAACAAACAAATAAAAAAATGTGAAGAAGAAGAAGAAAGAACACTAACCAACGCATGTTCCGTCAGACTTGTAAAAATATCCACTGGAGCAAGCGTTAGGATCACATTTCGAGTGGTCGATGTTGCATCGGTCACAACCAATTATCGTGCATTCTAGGAAGTAACAAACGGAAAAAATGTACATTCCGTATTTCAGCATTTCAAATGTATCAATTAAACACTTTCAAATACTGCACACAACACAGCAGACATGTAAATAAACATATATAAGCAAACATTAAAACAAACTTGTAAACAAACATGCAAACACGTAAACAGACATTTAAACAAACACGTAAATAAACATGTAGACAAAATGAGCCTCTGAATAAACAATAAAAGTCATTAGCTAGAATTTTATTTAACAACCACAAGCAAAAAATATTTAATTAGAATAAAAGTTTGAGAAGTTTGAATAATTTTTTCAAACTTCTTAGCAAAAGAAGAAATAAATTGTACTGAAACAATTTGGAAGATAAAAATTGATGTTGCTGTACTTGCACAAGTGGAATCTGAGGACTGGAAGAAGTACCCTGCCATGCACTGCTGGTCATCACATTTGTTCATCCCACTGTAGGAACAGGATTTGCAGTGTTGGTCGCAAGCTTTTAAATTTTATAATTCTCATTTCAAATGTTTTATTTGTATAATTTATAAATTTATGACTTTTTTAAAAACTTTCAATCACAAAGAGCAGAATATTTGATACCGTCGCATGTTTTCTGAGCATTCAGTCCATAGCCATCATTACAAACATCGCATTTGTCCGCTAGAGTTATGGAGCATGATTTGCAGTTGGGAGCGCATGCTGTTTATTTGGAAAATTGTGAAGGCAAGTTGCAGTTTAAAAAGTTGAGAGATATTTAATAACAACAACAACAACAACAACAACAAATAATAATAATAAAAATAATAATATCAAGTTGAACGCCCACACAACAACCTTTACAAGAAGTGCCGACGATAACATAGCCAGAGGCACATTGGGTGCATCCAGCTTTTGTACAGCTAACACAATTTGTTGAGCAGACTGAAATCAACGAAGATATGTTACATTCATTTTAATATTCATCAACGTATTGAATTATTTCTTAGCTAGTAGGTTAATTTATTAATAGAAACAATTATTTGATTAATTAACCATATGAATAATCAATAAGTACTTGGACAGTCCGGGGGCCCATCGCTAGCATACCCAGCCAAACAAGTCGAACAACCTGAGGAACTTGTGCAGGTGGCACAGGCTGGAAGACAAGCTAAATGGGATTGTGAAGATGTCACATGAAAATTTTTATTATTATGATTATTTTTATCGAGTTAAGAAAACTTTTCTTAAAATGAATATTTCATTAAAATTTTGTCAACTTCAAAATTATTGCAAAATTAAAATTACCATTCAATACATGTGAAGCTCGCTTCAATTTGCATCACTTTGGTGATTTATTAACACCATAAATATACGAGCCAACATTTGGAAGGATTTACAAAGGTAGGACAAATGTGTGTGTGTATGTATGTATATATATATATATATATATATATATATATATATATATATATATATATATATATATATATATATTCCAAACCAAAAAAGATGTGTATTTGATTGGTAGGACGCAACAGGTTTGTTTCAATAATTTTCTGTCCAATGTCGAAGTTATTTCCGGTGTTCCCCAAGGTTCTGTTTTAGGGCCTCTTTTGTTTATATTGTACATGGCCGATGTTTTTCTTATTATTGAAAAATATGGTTTCAGATACCATGCCTTTGCGGATGATTTGCAAATAGTTGATGCAATGGTTGATCGATTTTTATGTTGTTTTAATGAATTAAGTGAATTTATGGTAAATAATAAACTAAAACTAAACGAAAAAGTTGCTTAAAAATAAAAAAAATTAAAAAATAAAAAAAAAATGTTGAGCTCTGCACTTCTGTTAAAAATCTTGGCGTTGTATTTGATACTGCAATGTTAATGGATTAACAAACAAAGTCATTGATTAAAGATTGTTGCTATCAACTTCGCAAACTCAGACAAGTAGAAAAATCAGTCAATAACGACACCTTGAAATGTTTGGTTCACGCATTCATTTACTCAAAATTGGATTACTGCAACAGCATTTTCTACGGTGTTTCAAATCAATTGATTAATCGTCTTCAGTCAATTCAAAATCGTGCTGCTAAGAGGGTTTAAATACGACCATGTCAGTAATACTCTACAAGATCTCCATTGGCTCACAATTAAAAAAGGAATCATCTTCAAGCTTGCCGTTATGGTTTTCAAATGTTTAAATGGTTTAAGCCCAAGCCACTTGTCTAGAAGGTGTTTATACAAAAACGAAAAGTATTCTTCACTTGCAATTACACTCAGATGATCAGTTTTTTTTATCGGTGCCAAGAACAAATTTGATGGTGGCCAATAGGAATTTTGCCGTTGCTGGTCCACAAATTTGGAACTCACTGTTATAGACTCACTGTCAGCCTGGTTTAACTATTCAGAAGTTTAGCAAAGATTTGAAAACGTATCTTTTCTCTCGATGATTCAACCAGACGAAATCAGAGCCTTTGAGTTGCATTCTCTAATTATATATTAGAATTTTCTGGAAATCGTTCAATTTATTGAAAATAGAATTATCCAAGTTCATCATGAAAATTTAATGAAACTGTTCTTATCAAAATTCATCTTGCAGATAAGGCCTTATTTCGATTTTTCATAAATCATCTTCATTGCACTTTAAATTGATTAAGGCCAACAAATCGGTAGAATTCATATAATACTGTATAAAATATGGTCTCCTTCCAACATATATATATATATATATATATATATATCGAAAAGTTAAATATATATATATATATATATATATTTAACTTTTCGATTTTTCTAACGGATGATCGTAAATCATTTTCAAGTTTCTTTAGTTCAAAACCGATTTCATTAAGAAGACCCGGAATAAATTTTGTGACATATAAAAAAGAATTAAAAACATATTTATTTTCTGTTGATAAACATTAAATTTGAATATTTTAATTCATGTTGATCACGCATAGATATTTTGTTTGTTTCACTTTTGATGGCGCCTTTGAAGTATTTAATTTGCGCTATATAAATATTTCTAAATATATAAATATTAATATATATATAATACAATATTTTTTAAATTCTACCAAATGGTTGGCATTATGCTTACATTTCACAGAATTCATACCAGTTGTGTATAAAAAATGTCTCTTTCCTACATAAATATATAAAGATGCAGTTGTCTCAGAGCTTTGATGTTTTTTGTACAATCACAATCATCATCGATATCACAGTGAAATTAAATTAAATAAGTAGTCCGCGTTTTCCTTTGTTGTTTTATTGGAATCAGAAGCATTACCAATTAAGGCAAGGCAATTAAACGAAGAAATTTCTCTTTAATGTGCGACGTTAGTAACATAACCATCACCGACATCGCATTGAAGTTAAAAATTGTTTTTATTGATGTACTTGTGTTAGAACCATAAAAAAAATGGCGTTTATGGCATTTTAAAATTTGTTATTACATTACTATCTCACTATTTAACTGCTCGCGGACAACAAAACGGAACGTGGGACATGGGGGTCGAAATTCGGGACTGTCCCGCCCAATTCGGGACAGTTGGCAACTATGCATACAGTATAATAATTCTAATTAGATACATTTTAATTAGAAAAAAATTAAAAAGCATTTATTTTTAATCAACTAAATAAAAATAATTTAACTTTATATTGAGTCCACATCAAAAAAAATCTATCAACCCATCCCAAAACATGAACCCACCCACACCAACACAACAATTCACCACACCAGCACAACTTACCTAAGCATTTAACTCCGCTTAAGTAAAATTTATCATTGCAGATGGTGCAAGTAGCGATGCTATTGTCCTTTGATAAAGTGCAGGTCTTGCAGTTCGATGGACACCCTGCAGAAAGATCGAAGAGCATTAACGTAACTTTCAAGTGCGCATTGAAGATTGTTCAAAATACGATGTCCATTTTTTTTATAACGTTTAATCTTTTAAAAAATTAAATGTAGATCAAATAAGTCTTTGCACAAAAATTGAATAAAATTTAAACTGTTAAATTGGATTGACGGATGAACCCGAGGACATATACACAAAGTTAACTGTTTTATTTCTTTTAAATTTAATTTTTTTAAATTCTAAAAAAAAATCAAGTTCTAACTTAGACAGCTGTAAGAATTGTCAGAATTTTTGACATATCCATCTCTGCAAGCCGGCTCACTAAGACCCAGTCTCGGAGTGCACTGTATTTGGTCTCCATTGAATGAACAACTCAAACAACTAGGGGGACATTCTGTTCAGAACAATTTAAAAATGTTACGATCTTATGGACATTAATAAACAAACAAATTTTATTATTATTATAAATATTATTATAATTATTATTGTTGTTATTATAAATCCTCTTTGATCCAATTCTCAGGGGCATCAACAGCACGCGCACACTGCCCAGGTGGATACGTATGAATCTTCGCTTCAAACGTTGAATGTGATCGGCGGGTGGGATTTCTTCGCATTTAAACCCAGTCACAGCAGTAGCAAGACCAGACAACTCCTTCACCATCACGCCATCTCACCGCCCAACTATCAATAACTTTAATGAATACCATATCCGACTCCAGCCCTCCCCCAAAAAATCCGACTCCGAGTAAAAATTTATTACTTCGGGTTCAGAATTCAAGATAATTTTTCAATTTTTACATCATAGTTTTTTCAATTTATTATCACTACTAAATAAAAAATACTTTAAGAAAAACTTAAATCTGTAAATTTAATTATTCTTTTTTAATAAAATTATTTTATTTTTTTACAACGTTTTACAACATACTGGAAAAAATTGTGACTTTATTCACATTATTATCATTTATTTTCAGTATTTAAAATGATTGCTTATCGCTACAGATATATATCTTCTAAAAAACGCAATCTTAAAAAAATTTCAGAAAAAAAAACATTTTTTTAAAATAAATACCTTTTCCGGAGTCGGATAAAAAAAACCCGACTCCGGCCCCTAAAATTTCTGATCCCGACACCGACCGACTCCGACACACAAAAAACCGGTTATGAACACTAGTGAACAATTAAATTCTAACAAAAACATCAATGAACAATTTAAATACATAGTCGCCAATTCATCCTCAATCCAAATTATATCTGAGAATGCAAGGAACTAACTAAGGCAGGCTCCTGGCTTGAAACTCATGTAACCCGATGTACAAACATTACAAATCAGACTGTTGGCAGCGTCAAGCGAGCATGTTGCACACCCGCTCGGACAGCCTGACGTGACAGGATTTTTGAAAATTTTGATAACGTTTTGAAAAGTGAAATCAACGTTTTTAAACATTAAGGAAAACAAACACATTTAAAAATTTGAAAAACTCCTTAATAATCCAAATGAGATGAATTAAAATGAATATTTGGACATGCATTCGATAAAATGAAGTGTTAACGGTGTTTTAACCGTGTTATTAGCAACAAGAAGTAATTTAATGACAAATCAGCAAAAAAATCTCTGGTTTTGATCACTGGTTTAAAAAACAGTCAACATCGCCATAAAGTGACATGATTTAATCTTTGGACGGTTGGACACGTTTTAAAACATGAATTAATGATTTGGTGAGGTATATGAATCAATGATTTGGAACAATATTTTATATGAAAATTATTTATTGCAAGTTTGTGCAGTTTCATTTAAGAACCTTTGCATAAGCCAGATGCATCTAAATAGAAGTTTGCATTGCAAGATGTTGTGCACACAGCTTGGTTGTTTTGGTACACACATGTTCCGGAACAGTTTGGACACTCTACATTTCAGTCAAATCAATTAAATTATTTTCATCGGGATATAAATTAACAAAATGTAAAGATTTGAAATCTTAAGAGATAATTATTGTCTGGTTATTTAGTATTGTTTGTTCAGTAAATATGATCAGTTAGAAAATTTTCTGAAAAAACTCAAATTAGTTTAAACAACCTTGACATTTCCCATTAGTGTCAACCACATAATTTGTCGATGGCCCACACTGACTACATTTTCCATCATCCTTGCAAGTGCCAGTACACTTTGAATCACATGCTTCACACCAAGTTAATTAACAATTATGATTAAACATCAATGAAATTTCAAAAATTTTAAATGTGATTATAAAATGAAACAAACGATAGCATTGGTTTTTGTAGAGGGAGTACAGCTTGGCGCATACGGAGCAGGTAGGAGAGTTGTTGGCATCAAGATAACATACATCACAATTGGAAGGGCAACCTGATTTGATTGGATTATTTTTAAATGAATTCCTTATATAATTACATCATTTTGTTTTGCAAGACACACAATTGAAACATACTGGAGCATACACCACTGACTGACACAAATGATGTCTTGCAGCCATCAGGCAAACACTGCAGAACGTTGTTGAAGTAAGCACAAGTCAAACAGTTCGGAGGACATCCTGCAACAAAAATAATGACATTTAATTTTTTTCAATTATAACTGTAAACAAATTTATCATTTAAAAGTAATAGAATTAGAGTTTGAATAAATAAACATGTGAAAGTACCAATGCAAGAAGCTTTATCAGTGCTGAGTGTAAACTTGGTTGCACATTGGTTGCACAGTAAGGCTCCAGCCATGTTGGTGTCGTAAAAACAACTCAAGCAATTTGATGGACACACTGTCAGTATTTTCAGAGTTATAACTTTTTAAAACAAATTAAAACCAAAAAAATGTACAGTTAAAACTAATTAATTTTTGAAAATAAAACCATTAAAATTAAATTAAAATGTGACAACTGATAAATTATTGGATCTCAGTATACATAAATGTATGTATGTATATGTTGATTTGCTGTAGAAGTGTAGAGTAAGAACCATTAAACAACTAGTTGTATTTATTTCAGTTATGCTAATTCACCACTCCACTGGCAAGCAGATTAATATTTTAACTTTTCAATTTGTCATGGTGAAATTTGAAACAAAAACTTGAAAATTTTTCATTAAAATATTAACAGTGATGATTGATTAGTTGATTTATACGGTGTAAATTATTTAACTGTTGCATGTTCCATCAACAGATTTGAAAACGTAGCTAGGAGCACACATGTTGACCAAGCAGACAGTTCCTGACCCGTTGTCGGTGCAGCCATTGCAGTTGCTAGGGCAGGCTGTCAAATGAAAGATAACAACATTCTTTACATTCCTAAACATCAGATCAAGTTAATAAAATAATAAAATACAATTTATAGTCAAGGCCTAATCAAACAAAAGCAAATGAAAAACAGACTAGAAATAACTTTGATATAAAATAAATAAACGGGACAGCTTCCAAAAATTTTCTGCTTTCAAAACGTTAAAAAAGTAAAATGCAGCAATTTTTTTAATTTGAAAAACTTTTATCAAATTCTAAAGAACCACAGAGTTGATTTTATATATGTATATATACACCTCTAAAATGTCAACCAATTTCAACTTTTTTCCACCTGATTTCTGACAATTTGTTTCCAATTCGGCAAATACTGACGCTAACTGTCGAAAAATTGCTAAAGACGCCTAGACGTTTGTCCGTGGTAAATCAGTTATGTTTTTGGGTAGGGATGCAACGATATATCGATATTTGCAAAACACTTATATTTTTATGAATGATATTGCCGATATGTATGTGTGTGTGTGTGTGTGCGTGTATATATGTGTATGTATGAATAAGGATGTTTTGCGTGGGTCTATATATATATTTGTGTTTTAACAATTACAAACGACATTCTGATAAAAATGTAAAAGAGTTGATTACTTAATAATTTTGATTCAATTTTTAGTTTTTTTTCTTTAGGATTTGTAATATGAATGTGAGTTTACATGTATTAAAATATTTAAAATATGCTCTTATTTTTACAATTGTCACTAGTAATCATTACAAAAAAACCATATTTTCTTTTTGATTTCCAGATCATTTCTTTTTATTGATATCATTTATTTGATTTCTTTGTTTTGATTTGATGAAATAAAAATGTCAAATGTCAAAAATTCTCAAAAACATCGATAGATAAAATTTTGTTCGTTGAACAAAAATCTCACGAAACAATTAAATCGAAGTGTAACGAATGACGTCGACGTTTCTAGGAAGGATATTGCATGCTCTCACGCAGAGATATCTACTGAACCACTGTAATCCTTGCTTTGTTATGTTATTATTAGGTAGGGTGGTGTTGCGGTTGCAATTCTCGGAATTCTCGCTTTCTTGTAGTATTAACTTAACAAAAACATTATTACACGATCTATATATTCAAATTTGCATTGCTGCAAAACGGAATTCAATTGTTTTGTGACGCTATAGATAAAGCGCTGCATAAATGACATTATTATTATATCTCTTTCTTTTCAGAAAATGACCATGCATCTATAGTGTTTCACCCAAGAAACCGCTGCATTTACCGCCGACTTCCTTGTAATTTATACTGCACTCAGCTTTAATTACCATCGACTAAATAAAAAAAAAACATGTCGAGGTATTTTACCATGAACCTTGTAAATTTTTATGAATCCATGCGGTATTCACCGTGGACGAAGTAACAAATTGAATCGCGGCGTTTATTTACCGCGGACCTTTAACCTAATAAATTTTCTTAATTAATTTCATATTATATGCAGTGGTATATTCACCGCCATCGAAGTTAAAAAGATATGCTGCGGAATTTACAGCGGACATAGCCTCGTGCGTCGACGTAGTGCTATAAAGTCCAAGCCGAGCCAAGTCGATTCGGCTCGGCTTGGAGCTCATGGGCAGATCTAGACAAGACAACTTTGACGGCGGTCCAAAATTTAGCGAAGGACCAAAAACTGTAAATACTTGGCTACGTTTTTTTTTCTTTTTTATTGCTTATCGCACAGTTTTGTGTCAATTATCGTATTTAAAACGGCGTTTTCATGTTTAAAAACTGTGTTTTAGCGTGTAAAACGTAAATAAACAATATGTGTTAGCAACATTTTCAAAAAGTTATAACAAAATGGTTGTTGACTGATCAAGCCGCGACTTCAGCCGATCAAGTCGTTGGAGCCAATTTATTAATACGAAGTTTCAATTTATTTGCATTTGTTAATCGTTAGTACAAGCCAAATTGTTGCGATCAATATCCGAATCTCCGTCCTTTAATTTCTAAATAATTATTTTGTTTCCATTAACAGAAATTGAATAAAATTAAAAGAAATTAGTTCCTTATGAAATAGATAATGTTTTCGACATAATATACTCAACATTATTAGACGTCCATCAGCTCTGTCAGTTTCGCGGCTCGTCTTTCACCTTATCCGCGCCGAGCCACAATGTTAGCAACACTAATTCACCGATGACATTTTCTTCATTACGTTCAGTTTTAAGATATTCTTCAACATTAATATGCACAAACACCAGAATCATTTTGAAAATTTAACTTTTAAGGAAAAACTAGTAAAAACTCTTTTCAGCCACAAGAAGCACACATTAACTGACAGCAATCAATTTCCTGAGTAGGAGAACGAATTCAAGAGGAAGATGAAGAAAAAATTGACAAAAAAATTAGAATAAGTTTTACACGTAATAAAAACAAATTTGAGAGATATGAAGTTGGTAGTGATAAGTGGCAGTAGCTATATGAACAAAGGCCAAATAAATTTATCCCATGTTCTAATTACATTCAATGTTGTTTATTTTCTAATAATTTTTGACAATTATTTTAATGCAACGCCAGTGGCGGATCAAGAATATTATGGTGAAGGATAATTTTCAAAATTCTAAAGTTGATTAATTCTCGTTTATATCCATTAGATTTCTCACTGTTTAATTTAAAAACATTAAATTTAGATAAAAATATTTTATAGAATCTTATATTTTTTAAGGTCTGGTGTGATGTTTATTTTATAAGGGAAAATCTTCTATCAAATCTTCAACGACATTCAAAACAAACAACATTTTGAACTTTTCAACCAGGGAAACAGCGCCTATAAAAAAAACTGGTCTACGTAGTTTTTCTCTAATGTTTTTTTTTTTAAAAATACACCAACCGTAGCACAATCCATCAGAATTTCTTTTTGCGAAACCATTGGCACAAGTGGTGCAGACAGCAGCAGTTCCACTGTATGAACATGTCAAACAGTTGACTGGACATTCTTTAAAAATTTAACATAAACACAGTGCTTGAAAAATTAAAAAACTTGAATTTCTTTTCATATAGAAAAATTAATAGCATAGTTATTATTATTAATTTTCTACTAATTATCATCAATACCAACAACACATAAGGCACGTACTAAAATGCATAAATTCATGCATCTCACACAATGCATGTGGAGATCTATTTGCATTAAAACCCAAAAAACAAGACAAATGACCAAGAACGGTAACTATTTTACACCATCTTCCTGCCAAAAAGTACAAAATTTTCTTTCTACCTGACTAATGTGCCACAAACCTGCAAGTTGAATACTTCTTCTATTTTTCTCTTCCTATTAATTACTTATTACTACTAAGTCATTTTCAAACTATACAATATCTACCTTCTTGCCTATTTTTATTGAATATTTATTATAAAATTTTGGCTAATAAAACAACAGTCTAATGAATATTTCATTGTTTTTTTATTCGAATTGTGAAGAGTACAAAAAATAAAAATTGAAAAATAAATGAAACTAACGCATGCACTGTCCTTTATAGTTGACGTACCCTGGTAAACAACTTCCCAAGTTGCATGAAGTCGCTCCAGCAACTAACGTGCAAGCCAAGCAATATCTCGGACAAACTTTAAAAAAAAGATTTCTATGGAGAATGTTATCTAAATTAATGTTAATAATTATGTTTTAATTTAGAATCTTTTTACAATAAGTAAAGCAACTATTAATGATTATTATATAGTGTATGACAAGCATATCAAAATGTTAAACAAAAAATGTCCACTTAAGTTTCGAAGGCTCAAACAAGTTAAAATTTACTTGAAGATACATAACATTGTCTAGTTCACGCGTTTACACATTTAAAACTGGATTACTGCAAAAGTTTTTCTACAAAATGTTCAACAAAATAATGGCTCGTTTAAAGTCAATCTGGAAACGTTCGGCTACGATCGTTATGTTGGAAATAAGCTGCCAAGTAACAATAGAAAGGATTTGCTGTGTCTTACACTGAGTATCTAATGGGTGGCATCCATGATTTTACTTTGGAGAGGCAACTAGCCAGCCTATTGATAAAATCATTGAATGATGTAATAGGACAACCAGCAACAGTTGAATGTCGTCGGCAAACGCCTGATATTGGATATTAAATTCTTTAAAATAATGACTTTAATCCTACACACACCACAACAGCTTCAATTATCTTGGAAGTCTGATCACCTCAGGTTGTAAATGTGGTGTCAATATTAAACCAAGGATAGCTATGGCAAAAGATGCATATTTGAAAATGAAAAACATCCTCACCAACAGTAAAATCAGAATATCAACAAAATTAAAACTGCTAGAGTATTACATTTTTCCTGTGCTCACTTACGGCTCTGAGTCCTGACGATTTCTTAAAAAATTGAAAAAAGGATTAATGCTGCTGAGATATGGTTTTTGAGAAGAATTATGAAAATTAGTTGGACCTCTCGAATGAGAATGTATTAAAACAGTCC